CCCCATTTCACCTTTTCAATTTTCGTTTTGCCATTTTCAAGGGTATTTAGGCGCCTTTTTTATTTTTATGCTAATGCCAATTTCCATATTCATGAGCAAAAGTATGATGTCATTTAATTCAGGCAGAAACCTCTGTTACAGCCATTTCAGCACAAAAAGTTACCAAATTTGTGATATTTTGCTTTTCTAAATTTTGCTTTGGTGATTCGTTTTTGAAGGCCAATGAGCAGCATTTTCTCACTCCTGTTTTCAATTAGCAGATTTTTGGATTCACATTTGAACGGAAAACCCCTATAAGTGAACAGTGTTTTTCTGAAATGACATCACGGCCAACAGTGCCCTCAGTTGTCTGGAAAAGCAGGGAAAATTGTAACTGTTGAAAGAAAAAAACGGGGATGTGAAATAATGTTCATACATTTAAGAGGAGTAAAAGGTTGCACAAGAAGTGTTCCCAAGAAAAAAAACCCATTTTTGTTGTGGGCACTTAAAAAAAATGTGTGAGAATACTTATAATAAACTGATAAGGCAACAATCACATGTATTTTATATACAATTATGTCCATGGGTGGATCCAGGAGGGGTTGTGGGTTTAGCTGTTCTTATTGTCTTAAAATAGTCTTAAAGTCTGTGACCTGTCTTGCAGCATATCCGAGTGAGCTTTCAATGAAATAATACAAATGACTGTAAGGAATAAAGTTGACATTGTTTTTTTTTTTTTGGGGGGGGCCATAAGTGAGTAAAAGGATATTTAAGATCAGTCCTCAATTTCACTTGTGAAGAATGGATATACATGTACAAATGGTTAATTTTAGTTGGTGTAAATATAATTAATACAATGAATGTATAATAACATATAAAGAATACTATAATATTGAGCTTAATTGCCTGTTGTGATAAATGAGGAAAAATCCACTATTGAAGGGCACCTGTTATGCATCTTGAAGTGAGTTGTGTATCAGTCTTAATTGTATTGAATTGTAACAAGTGCGAGTACACAATAATTAAGCTCTGGCTGTCTTGCAAGAAAGTCTTGCATGAAATCTATCAATATGATCAAAATGATCCCTGCCAGAGCTTAAAATGTGAACAGTGGCGGTTCTACGGGGGGGGGGGCTGGGGGAGGGCTTTAGCCCCCCCCCTCCCCAATTTTGTCTAGCCCCCCCCCCCCCCCCCAAATATTCCATAAAAATAAAAAATTGCAGTAGCGAAAAGAAGGAATGTGACGTACATTCGAACGGTCTCAACTGGGTCAATATTGGTCAAGACCTCCATTGGTTTGTACACAGTAGGCCAGGAGGTGAGGAACAAAATGTTGACCATTGATGACCTCTTAAGTAAAGGGAGGGTTTTAAAGAAATAGTTGTGACAAGGGTGCATTTGAAGTTAATATAGTGTGCCCAATTGCAGGATTTTATTGGGACTCCCCATTGAAAATAAGGCATAATTACGGTCTACAAAATATTTACATTTTTTCCTCCTTAAAAGGTAAGCTATGCCATTTTTTAGGTCAAAATGATGGATGTACTAACTCAATTTTACCATCCTGATGGAAGTAAATACATCTCATATTATGAAAAGCAAGATTGACCATAATTAAATAACTTAATTGTTTTTGAGCTCTTTTAATGCAAAGTCCCACTTTGGACCCCTAATTTATAGAATACCCATATCCATCTTTCATAACTGTACAGTACTCTTACCATATAATGTAGGTCAAAGCAATATGATAATTCTCGGAAAAAAAATAAACATCAATGCATTTGTAACGAACTGCTTGAATTCCAGGTCATGTGGCTGGAAAACGCTTCAAACTTAATTCTGATAACAAAAGTGGCACCACAATAAGATTATGATAAATTGTAGCATATATATGTTGTAAATTCCTAAGGTTAAACCTATTTGAATATATTCCATGTGTTTTTACATGTGTATGTATTATCAAAGTATGTATTATCAAACAGAATGTAATTTTTTACAGTATTAATTTCTGACTTTAATACTATTAAAGGGAATGTACATCATTGGCAATTGTTGTAATTTTCAGAAATGAACTATTTGATCGGGTTAGTATAATAGATCAAATATTGTTACACTGACATGTTTAAGTTTTTGTGTTTGAAAATGCTGGAAAAACTAAGAAAAACAAAAATGTTCGAGGAGTCTGGTTCCCTGACTCCACTAAAGATGAAAGGATCAATTTATAGATGCCAGAAAATTGTAAGGTAATGGAACCACTCTAGCTGGCCTGCACCCGTTCATGAACATGTAACCAATGGCAAACAAAATTTGGATTGAACAAAAATGGTAAAATTGGAGCAGTAGTTGAGAAATACTGAGTCAGGTTTTTCCTATGGTGGTCGGCCGACCACCGTTGGAAATTTATACAAAATACAAATTTTCTTGAAAATGACTTCACACCTGGTGCCATAATTTTACAGGATGCTTTAAACTGTCATTTACCAACATCCTAGTAAGGTTTTTCGTAAAAAAAAGGGTAGTTTTGTTTTCCGATGTTTGCAAATGTTGTATATTCCCTTTAAAGTCAACTACAATGTCGTGGAGGTACAGAAAATGTGTTACTTTAGTTTTCGTTGTCCATTTTTAAAGGTTCATTTGATTTTGGCCATTTATTAGCCTTTGCCTCAGTAAAAAAAAATGCTTTGAACTCGGACATGCATCAAGACTTTTTTTTAAAGTTATAACATATATGATATTCAGGTTTTTTTCTAAATGAGGAACAATTGATGAAAATTGTGTATAGAAAGAATTGGTTTTGAACTCCGACATGTATCAATACTTTTGTTTTTAAGTTATAAAATCCGGTATGCAGGTTTCCTTATAAATAAGTAGCAATTGAGGAAAATTGTGTAAAAGAAAAATGGTTGAACTCTGTTATGTATCAATAGTTTTGTTTTTTAGAACAATTGAGGAAATACCGTGTAAAAAAGAGTGTTTTTTTAGTGTTACATGATCTGTATGGTATTCTGTATGGTATGGTTTTCTTCTAAATGAGGAGCAATTGATGAAATTCACTAAAGTACATGTATGTCTTCTCGCTGTGTTGAAACTACAGCAACCTGCAGCAGGGGCGCTAAGGGGGGGGGGGGCTTGCCACCCCCCCCCCCCCTTCCAAGAAAAAGGTTTCCCATGATTTGACCTTGGTGATATGTATGCGGCCTATTTTCGAGTAATATAATAGGGGTGTAAGTGGCGCCACCAACGTCAAAATAGTCGATCCCCTCTTCCCCCCCCCCCCCCCCAAAAAAAATTCTGCGACGAAAAAATTTGGGAAAATTTAACATTTTGAAAATTTTGATATCTTCTAAGAAATAATAAAAAAAATCGAGCCCCCCCCCCCCCCGAAATCCTTGGTGGGCCACTGACCTGTAGCACATATAGTGAGAAACTTTGCAGGTTTTAAATAAAAAACTTTGAATAGCATGTAATTAGAAATGTAATATTGGAAGTTAAGATGAACAAAAGGTTAAGATGAAAGATTATAATGTCTTATGATTTTTGACACCTATTTGCAATGAATATTAGGCAACATTTTCAGTGTAAGTTAATAAAATATCAGTGAAAACTTCAGATGATTTTTTTCTGTTTTATTCATTCGCACGTTTGTTGCATTGAAGTACGTACATCATAAGATATTAACAAAATCTAATGGAGTCGGCCCCTATCCCTCATCCAATTTGAGACATGGCTTGTCTGGCCCATGCTAGAGAAAAATGCTGTGGATTTGTGGTGCTGCCCCGCTCCCCCCCCCCCCCCTCCCTACCACCACCAGGATGAAAAAAATCCAAGCTACCTACACCACTGCAGTTCGAATATCTGCATTTGGTTGACACATCCCCCATTGATACTAGTATGCTTGCATATTGGAGCCAGCGGCGCATCCATTGACAATTTTTTTTTCTAGTTGAGCCCCCCCCCCCCAACCCTCCCCCAAGCCAAATCCTGGGTGCACCATTGATTGGAGCTAAAATTAATAAAGCATACTACTTTAATAGCCTTTGATACTGTCTTGGGAGGGGAGTATATGCCCCTTAATGGCCTCTTAGCACTGTTGTCCAAAAATAATTTGAATACTTGCAATGGGTGCATACGTATTTTTGTTTTGCTTGGGAATGGCCCGATCCAGTAAGCACCGCCCCATGGTGTTCTGACCAATCAGTGATCACAGCCGTGATTTATGTCCGACGTGCGTGCACGCGCGTATGATGTGTATGATGCACGCGGAAAGAAAATGCAGCGTGGCATTGGAGAGGAGCACGTGTTAATTTGCCCACATGCGTACTGGGCGGAGCTTACTGGATTGGTCCATTGGCCGTACTTTCTATCAAAGGCTGCATCCGAATCAGCTGTCTAGAGCTAGGTCTACGTCTGCGTCCATTGAAAATACGCGGGGACGCGCTGACAACAGACGTAGCCGTAGCTCTGGAAGCCCGTTTCGTACACGGCCAAAGATCCTATCTTAACCCTTTCAAGCCCCATTGAAAACAGTGTAAAATTGACAAAGTTCAGGGCCAAATAACATGGAGGCCGACATCACTGGGGTTTCTCAAACCAAAATTAAATTATTGTCTTGTCCTTCATCGTTTTATTCCTTTTCAATTTTGGGTAGACAGCCAATTATATTTTTAAATACATTGATATTCACACCAAAACGCAACAGTTCCCAAGCCTGCATGAATTAAGCCCTTCCAGAAGTTCCACTTTCTCAGGCAAATAGGACTCATTTTTCAACCGTAATTTTATCAAGTCTGCCCTCAGATGGAAGTCCCGAAAACCAGGGAGTTGATCCTTGACCATATTTACACAATTCCACTGTTTTTAAAGCCGAAACGGTGTCCGTTTTCAAAAGAAATGGGGGGGGGGGGGGGAGGGGGTACCTTTTATGCTAATGTTGTGAGCTCGCGTAGAAATTCTAACTTGAATGAGTGCACTGCACGCCTAGCGCTAGAGGGCGCAACGTTGGCTCGCTTGTCATGTCATCATTTCCATTATTTTAGCAAACACTAGAGCCAGCTGAACGGACCGTAATTACTGGGCGAAAACACAACTTTTCTTTGAAAATGACGCGGCATCAAAGAAACTGTACTGCTGGGACTGTTTACACTTATCATGAGCGGCAGAAAGATGCAGGTAAGTTTTCTCATGGAGCTGTTTCATTTTTACGTAGGCCGCCCTGCTAGGCCTAAATGAAAATAAACGGCCACAGGTAAAATGACGGGAAACAGGACAACTCGTACGCGAAACAACTCGTACGCGAGACAACTCGTACGCGGTTTGGTCAACTCGTACGCGGGCAACTCGTACGCGCGACAACTCGTACCCGGGCCAACTCGTACGCGGGCCAACTCGTACGCGGGTCAACTCGTACGCGGAGGATCGCCAACTTGAAGATGAATTTTACCCCAAAACACACGCCAAAGTTAACGATTCATCACAGCGGTGTGATTGTATGACTGAATGACTGTAATTGTAGTTATACATATTTTCAACAATTTTAAATTCCATAAATGCAACGATGTTCAAGTTCACAAGTTTCAATGATAAATTTTTGCGACCGATGTGTAGTGCAATGCCGCGGCATGCTCTTCCAATCACGCAGCTAGTGTGGAGAATTTGTCAAGATATATAATCAACGACTTGATTTACACATGGCGTGGGGCCACTATAGCAGTGTATTGTTGGAAGTCTACAAATGCAGTGGACATTATACATTTAAATTCTCACTACACGGCATCATCTTGTCGTAAAGTGTGAGCTAGGATCGGACCGTCGGACTTGCCCGACCGTGTGCGAGCATGGCGAGTGGTCTGGAAAACAAATCATAACTTTTTTGTTATGAGCAAAACAAGCTGATTTAAAGATGAACTGATTGGGACCACTCAGTGACACAAAATAATCCCCTTAACTTAAGGGAAAAAGAATGTGCTGGACAACTGACCGACCCTAATTTCCTACACGCCTGAACCTACGGTTTCAGTAAAATCCCTTGTGCTACGGCTGCTAGTCTATACTCACGCATACGAGTTGGCTCGCGTACGAGTTGGTCCGCGTACGAGTTATCCCTCGTACGAGTTGACTCGCGTACGAGTTGGTTCGCGTACGAGTTGTCCTGCGAGCGAGTTGGTCGCATACGAGTTGGCTCGCGTACAAGTTGACCTGTATTCAAATGAGGCACTCGTGGAATGACGCACTCACCTTTCATGCAGTGTGCGTGCGCGATGTATGTGAGTACCATACTACTTTCAGGCGCGCTAGTGGTTTGAATTTACTTGGTACTAGCTCTACTGAGTGGAGCGTTGAATTACGGGTACCCCTCCATACAAACGCTCCACCGATTTACCATACTTTGGTAGCACTTACACGGTCGTCATGACGGTATGCATTTTGTGCATGCCCTCGCGAGGACAAGGCCCAAAAAAACTGATAAAGAAAATACAAATGAGGAAGACAGTAACCCTGGATAGATCCACACATTCATGACATTCCATAAGACCCCTCAAATTGTTTCAAACAACCGGTAATTTTGAAAAAAGAACAAAATAGTCTGAACTTACCGCTCACAATTAAATGTGTCTGCCGAATTGCACAGTCTATTTCACTGACATGACTGATGCATAATTCATTGCGCGCGTGTGTGACGTCACTATTGAAGAAAAACAAGTTGCGCTTACTCAATAGCTGTTTCATGTAGTCATATGTGCCCCGCGCCGTCTGACTGTGGGTTTTTGGTGCGGGGCACATATCAGTACATGAAACAGTCATGAATGTGTGGATCTATCCAGGGTTACTGTCTTCCTCATTTGTATTTTCTTTATCAGTTTTTTTGGGCCTTGTCCTCGCGAGGGCATGCACAAAATGCATACCGTCATGACGACCGTGTAAGTGCTACCAAAGTATGGCAAATAGGTGGAGCGTTTGTATGGAGGGGTACCCGTAATTCAACGCTCCACTCAGTAGAGCTAACTTGGTACTTGGTACTTAGGGTACAATTGCAGAATACCCCGCCATTCAATCTATCCACCTCGTACTCGTAGCCTAGTTTGAGTAACTCCAGCTGACATGCTCATAAGTCATATTCATTCACATGTAGCGCTGGAGGAATAGGCCTAACCTCGTTAGAGTGTGGTAGCAAGAGACCCTAAAAAAATGGCCTCTCAAAAATTGTTCATTTTCACCTCTAATATCCCACCCCAGAGTTCATTTACATACCTCATACATTCAGCAGTCATTTACTAAGCCTAATGATCGACTTGAAACAGACCACACAAAAAAAATGTGAAAAATCTTGACGATTTCGAAGGCTTGTCCGTAAAAAAATGCCAGTTCCAACGGTTGTCGTCCATTTTAATTTGCTAATTATGTAAATGTATGCATCACGTGGTGACATCGAAAAAAAATCTGCCCGCGTGATGTATGTGGGTACCACACCTCTTTCAGGCACCGCAAGTGAGTTCAATTTTCGTCTGGTGCGTTGTCGCGGAAAGCAAGACAACGAGAATGCTCTCCACGACAACGCACCAGACGAAAATAAAGGCCACACTTGGAACATGTACCTGAAAATGTAGAACTTTGTCAAGTTTTTATTTTCACATTTAGATTTTGTAGTGAGGCACAATTACAGAATATGCACGTTTCCCCCGACTTTCTTTGTGTAATGTTGCCAAACCTCTCCGTAGAAAAACCTTCAAATTTATTCAGTTTAATAGTGGTACCATTTCCTTAATAATGCTTGCTGTTGAACCTTTGTGAACAATTTAAGTGTCATGAATAAGTCCAATATTCAAAAACGGTGGCGTCCGGAAATTGGGCTCAAATTTGGCCGAGAGTTCCGTAACGTGGCGCACTTGAACAAATCTCTTAAAATCCCACATTAGCGTCCAAAGAATTTCATTAAAGTTGATAAATTCTATTGAATCATTATTATCTACACTCACATACACAACTACAAGTTTGTCAGCAAATTATTTTCATATTTTTGGGCAAATTTTAAAAGGGTTCATTGTGCACTTTGAAAAAAAATCGGAAAATCATACCAAAATAGAATTTTCCTAACTTCGTAGCGGGTACATAAACTCAAGATTTAGGAATGTGAATGTCTAGAGCTTGATTAAATTTCTTTCTTTTTTTTGTGAAATTTGACGTAACAATTTTGCTCCAACAAGGCACTAGAGAGCGAAAAATCAAAGTGCACCACTTTGAGGGCCGCGCCACATTAGGGTACATCAACAGTAGGGTAAACTGGGGTAAAAACGCCCGATTTTTAAGTTTTTGTTAAATATCTCAGTACTACTTGGAGACACCAGGAAATAAATGTGTGGTTTTATGCAATACATGTCTCCTCTATCAGGTGCAAATATAATATCATGGTCATAATATTGATAGGGGGAAATTTTCCCCCCTTTTCGGAAGGAAGTTTGGCGGGCGTTTTTACCCGGGCCTCGGGGTAAAAACGCCCGCCCACATTTATAAAAAAAAAATGGCTATACCACAGGCTTCCCTGTAGTATAGTCATATTTTTGTAATTAATTTAATATTGAGGGATACTTCATCAAATACAAATAACTTTTCAAACACAACTGGTTAATTATATCTACAAACTTGATCATTTGAAACAGGTATTTTTATGTGAAAGGAAGCGGAACATTAGCGTACATAATTTGCCCATGACAAACTTGTATTGAAAAATCTATTTCAATCTTGTTTAGCCAAATCATAGTTCCATGTTATTAGGCATGTATGTATGTTTCTAGCCTTCTGCTGATAACCTTAGGCTTTGTCAAAGGAGAACTACGGTACTAAGATATGCACATTTCTGTAACAACGAGTTACAGAAGTTCCTAGAGAAAAGAAATGTGTTCGTGGACATGATGGAGAACCTTCTACTCTGTAACCACAAGAAAGAGGAAATTGCTAACTGGTCATAAAAGCCGTACAATTTGAAATCTGTGAGCAATACATCATGAATGAAACACGACCAAAAGAACCACCTCTAGTCTTCAAGATCACCTACACACCACTCATCAAAACCCAGCAGCTAACAAAAGTATTGCTGAAAGACTGGCATTTAATTCCAGAACACCTGAAATTATGCAATCCGTTTCCCAGCGAACCAATTACTGCTTATTATAAAGCCAAAAATCTTGAAGGTGTACTTGTCAAATCAAGATTTATCAATAACCAGGTATTGGACTCATTACAAGGTTCACAAAAATGTTATTAGATGCACTTATGTGTATCTATGCACTCTAACATTTGACACGACTAATTTAGCCGAATATAAAATACTGGTTTTGGCGTACTACTGATGAAGCTCTGCTATTAGAGCATGAGAGCAGAAACCAGTCTAGTTGGGTCTTGGAACCATTTCTAGTCATTTTTACTTATTAAAAGTACACTGAAATCACCATAGAGGTGTTATTTTTTTTGCCTTGAGAAAATGCCATGAGCTCATGATTTCTCGGGCATTCCCTAACAAATGCTAGTCTGAGTACTGTACGTTATCCACGGAGCTCAGACTCCTGTCTAACGTCTGATATATCAAAGCATGCAGATTTATGCGATCTCACGCCTCAGCCAATTGGAGTCGACTTTACTAAACGTCATTGCATTCCCAAATCAGGACTACCGGTAAAAGTTTGATTGGTCAATTCGAATGCAGTGTTTTGTAATGCAACAACAGCCGGGCGCGTTATCGCGTAACACGATAACAGAGTGCGTGACGCAGGGCTTTTTAATCCATTGTCTATGACGCGCAACGGGTGAATGAAGGAAAACCCGATAAAGAAAGCGCCCGCTGATTGGTCAAAATCTAGGAGGTCAAGAGGCGGGGTCTTGCCTAATTAATCAGCGAATCTGCTCACATATCATAGACCCATGGCATTCGCCATGGGTCTATTACATAGAATAAACAAATGCCAGGTTCCCTTCCACTACGTAACGTCAGTTAGTTATACGGCCTACATGTACCTCCCCACTTCACACAATACACTGTTTAATATTTATGTGGTAGGACTCTGATAGCTAATACTTACTCATACAACAAACATAATGCTGTAGAAAGTTCTAACAGCAAGGTTTTTGAAGATAAATGAGGCTTCATTAGATTTTGATGTCAAGGAAAGTACTGGGCGTTTTTTACCCCGAGACCCCTATTTTGCCCGGGGTAAAAACGCCCACTCAAATAAACATTATTAAGCAAATATTAAAATAGATTTTAATATTTTAATCATTTATAATTATGTAAATGGGTGTTTACATAAATGTGAAGGCCAGTGTGTGACATTAGGGTCAAATTTTCAAAATAACCAAATTAAATTCAGCTTCACATGGTTTTGCAGTCTAAGGTCTATATTTTGTCAAAAACAAAACCATTTTCCTATAACATGACCCTTTTTAGAGTAGCAACATGATAAACTAGCATATGGGACACAAATTTCACCTGTAACAGTGACACCAAATTGTTAATTTCTTTTAGAGCTCTCACCAGGTTATTGTTCAGGTATGGTAAAGACATGTTGCTTTTAAGCAATTATTTGCACCACATATAAGTTAAAAAAAAAACCATTAACACTATCCTTGTTCAACATTTGTTGAAAATCAAATATCAAGTTTCAGGAAATTTGACATATTATGATGATTGCAAAAATGTAGCTCTCACTTGACATAAAATTATATTATTTTAAGACAAACACTCACAAGTTCTCTAAAAGCAAGTTTGACAGCCAAAACTGCAACTATGAAGAGCAATGAAGATTTACAAACACTACTAGAAAGCATGTTATTGTAAGTAAAGCCTGGTGTTAACCAACATTTCACCTGTAACGCTGACACCAAATAGTCACTGTTACAGAGTGACAATCCTACAAATAACTAATAATAATAGTAATAAATGGTATCAAACCATTTAAACCTTTCTATTTAGTGATAAGATTGATGGTTTCTACATCAGATACTTGTTTCTGAGACTGGAAGTTTAGTTTGTTATAATAATCATTTCACCTGTAACGCTGACACCAACACCAAAAACACTTTTATCACTTTTCTTCACCGTAGTTCTACTTTAACCTGTCCTATGCCAAAGTTTTCATTGTATTAAAAACTTGGTCATTATTTTAGCTAAAAACTCAATCATCAATCAAACAGGTGCTTTTGCTTCATTGTTTCAGCTGAAAAGAGGTACATGTATTTCACATGTAACGGAGTCAGTGTTGACACCAAACCTTTATTGCCTCTTATTTCAAATTCTAAGAGAAGGATTCAAAATTTAATGACATCTATATTCCAAGCCAATCTCCAGGATATATTTTTAGTTAAACTTGTTGACAAATACAGTTTGTCAAATTCAGAGTGCAGCTGCAAAGCATCACACTGTAACGTTTTTTTGATGACACCAAATTGATCTGCCAATATTTAAAATTGGTATATTTCTTGTACTTCTTTGAATTTCACTTTTGGTCTTCTTTAGTCTCTTTATTTAATAAAAGACTTCAATAATCACTTAAAATTTAGAATAGTTGACAGTTTCTACAAATATTATAATCAATGGTAAAGTTCACTCTATAACAGGATTTGCTGACACCAAATATTACAGAGTGATGGTATTTTTAGCGGGCATATCAAAATGATACAAAGTTGCCGATGCACGAACATTGTGTTTAATATTAAGTTTTGGGTTATCGTCAATCATTTATAATTAAAAAGGACCAAATTTATCAATTGAAAGAATGAAAACTGTGCACCATTGGACAAGCTGTAAAAATGTCACGCAATTTTACCTAAAAATGTCATAATTCTGGCAAATTTTTTGATCAAAATTATACAAATGCATTGTGGTGATTTTTTATTTTTTTATTTCAGTGGGTACATAGTGATATGGGCAACAAAGTAAAAACACAAATATTAGCAAACTGGTTATTTTAACATGGAAATGGCCCTTGAAAGGAAAGAACATGTGCATTATGCCACTGGCCTCCACATTTATGTAAACACCTATTTCCGTCACATTTATGGGACTGAGTTCAGGCTTAAACTTCGCATATACATGTAATTGAATACCCCATTTAATCTGCATAAAAAAAATGGCAAAAAAAATAGTTCATTCAAGAGATTTCAAGCAAATTTTTAAAAGAGGAAAAACGTAAATGATTTTGAAACTTTTGTCTTCAGCGCAATGGCAGGAACTCAGGCACGGACATCTTTGACACAGCACACAAAATTGATTAACGCACGTGTACATGTGGTTAGGTCGTAAGTGCATGCACGATCCGGAACTAGGCAAAAGCATACGGTCATCGTTGGCGAATTAAAAAAATTAGAGAGACTACAACTTATTTTGATTCATGGAGGGACAAAAATCACAACAATTCAAACAATGGAGTTAAAGCACTCAGTATTACACTAGTAATAGTAACACGGATTTGATACCAAAACCTTTGGCATGGTACACATACACGTATGTACACGTACTTGCATAAATTACTCCAACAATTTACAAATCAAGTTACCAAAGCATCCTGGTTTGAAGGGCAGTAATCAATTTATATGGTTTAGATTTGCAATGGTATTTTTTTGCAATGCCGTAACGTTTGTTGAAAATCGCACTACAGAATCGTAACGATAGCCACTGCGAGAACCCAACAGTGGCTATCGTACAGTATGCCACTACGAGAACCCAACAATAAACAAATATTGGACTTAGGACTTCTAGTAAAAGTTCAGCCCTCCCCTTGCTATTTTAGAGTTCCACTTCTTTTGATGCGCATGGTTGTAACAAATATTAACAAGAGAAAAACCTGCAGTCTTCAATTTTGTTATCTTTATTTAATTCATTTATGTGTTTTCTTTTTCAGTGACTCAGAGGTATTAACGATGTCTAGGGTAAGTTCATTGAAAAAAAGCTGTCCTCTCTAAAATCCTTCTTTAACTCTATCAGGACCTCTGATAGGAGTGTCGTGGCCTCGTGGTGTGGAGCATTAAATTTGTGGTCTGCGGGTAATTCTGCAGGTTGTGGGTTCGAGTCTAGCCTGGGGTTGTGGTGCGTGTGCCCTTGGGCAAGGCACTTTGTCACTCATTGCTTCTCTCCGACCCAGGAGTAAATGGGTACCTGTGAGAGCACAGATGGTTATTGTGGTTGATTCTAGCTGCTTTGCGCCAAATACCGGTAGCATCAAGCTGTAAACTCCACAAGGGAGCTGAGACTGTCTTTGGAATGTTTCACTGGCCCAATGAGCAGGGTAACAACGATGCTCATTGTAATGTCTGGAGCACCAGTACTGGTGGATACATGCGCTTTACAAATACCCACATTATCTAAGTATTTTATACATTGCTTTTGGCATGATATCAAAGAATCAAAAGTTGTGAATCCCCAAAATTGTAAATTTCACTTTACGACCAACAGAGGGCAGCACTGTCTTCACGGGATCTTAATGCGGCAACATCCCATGAACATCCCATGAGCAAGCTGCCAGTGCCCTCCAAGCCTCGCCAGGTGAAACTGAAAGTCAAGCCGTGGACGAGGTGAGTTAAAATACTTGTTATAATAAATAATTCAAATGGGAGGCTAATCATCCTTACTCGCAGCTGAGAAGCTGAATTGCGAAGGACGCGGCTACAATGTGGTCGAGCCGCTGGCATGTAAAGGCGCCTTTGGCAGCCAGCCACATCAACCCATATATGACCACGGAGCACAGCCTGAGATCAAGAGTGGTTTTTTTTTGGAAGGAGGGTACCGGAGGGCCTAGAGAAAAAACCCTCCTGGCACAGGAGAGAACCAATGCACAATTCTACTCGCATATGGTCCTAGCCGGCAGTGGCGGCGCTACAGTGGGGATCATTCAATTTTTTAATGAGTAACATTGCATCGTTGTCAAAGAAGCATTTGCCCCCCCCCCAGTTCCCCCCCCCCCCCCCATATCTACAAATAGAGTAATTGTGTTTATTTTCTACGCTGATAAGATTCATATCATCGGTTCTGTGGACATATTTTGGGCCAATAAAAGCATTAAAAATGACTACACTTCTAAGTTGCTCTAGTGGCTTATTTCTAGACCATTGACAATGGGCACGCACACGCGTACACAGACTTTTAGTTCCGGTTCTTTTCAGAACCACACATTCTCACAAAAGAGCTTTAATCACATGGTGCTACCGCAAACTTATCTTGTCTTAGTATTTTTCCACCATGCAAACCTTCAAATCTCATGAGACTTTAAGCTGCCATTTATTTATTGGCTCTTCCTTACTTTCCCCTTAAGGGCCGTTCACACAATTATCAACATTTTCACAAGTGTACAAAGCGTACACTTTTTCAAGACCCCCTCCCC